ACAGTAAACCTGGTAAATCTTTACTCAGATCTTTAAACACTAACATACCAGCAGCTAACCAGACTGGTGAATGATACAACATGTCACCGTTTCAAATAACTTCTTCAAGATGGCAACAGAAGATAGAAATACAATTTACTGTCTCACAAATTGGAAATCCAGGAAAACATTCTTTTTTCCATATTCACATTTCTGATTGGCTGCCAGTTAAATTTATTAATCTGTTTTGATTGTTAAGCCAGAAATGGAAAAGTTTGACCAGAAAAACACTGAAGTTGTACACTCTGAATGAGTGCATCTCAACTTTATAATGCACACGAGCTAAAGTGGTTAAATGTCATATAATCATCTTTATCATGTAAAGCACTTTGAACTTCCTTGTTGCTGAAATGTGCTATATAAATAAACTTGACTGGAGATTCACCTCAAATGCCTTTAAGAACAAACAAACTCCATATGACCAGTCTGAGGAGATCATGTTTGATACAGTAACTTCTCTCCATCACCACTTCATGATACTGCCTGTCTTGGCTTGTATGTACTGTCAAAAATAAGTTAACTTCTCCCAATATGGTATTTCTATTAATTATAGAGATGCTAATACAGGTGCTAACCAGTTCTCATATCCCCAAGATAAGACTTGTGCCTTAGGTTAGCTTGTTCTCAGTTATCTCTGGACTTAACCGGGGCTACCCAACGTTGGGGATCCTATTGGGCTACCAAACGCCAGGGATCCTATTGGGCTACCAAACGTCGGGGATCCCATAGGGGCTATCCAATGTCGGGTATACATTTGGGGCTACCCAACGTTGGTGATGTTGTTCATGGTGCCAAGAACTGGATCTCAAGGTGTGGCCATTGACAGGAACCCTCCTCTCTGTTTGGGAGACTCAAGGTCTTGAAGATGATGTGCTTTTGTTGGTACTCTTTATCCATGATCCTCTCTGTGCCCAGGAGAGGTTGTAGTAAGGCTCATTTGAGGTCAAAGTTGAAGGGCAGTAATTGTCTCATTGGGAAGAGTTCACGTCTCTTGATGAAAGTTTTCCAGGAATGTCTCACCTGTATGAGACTTCTGGGTAGACCCAGAACATGCTGGAGGTATGATAAATCTATTCTGGTCTGGCATGATCAAGTGAAAAGGAATGTCAGGGTTTCTGTCCTGGATTTGTTCCCAACTAAGCAAAAGATAATAGACTGAACCCAAATCCACTGAGGCTTGAATTCCCTTTAACTAAACCAAAGTGTCCACAAGTTACTGCCTACACAGCATATTTCCTATTCAATTAACAAACCACTTTTCATTAGTCTACAAGAAAAATGACATCACTCTCAATCATCGGCTGTCAAAATGTAAAAACGGCTGTCGGACATGAAAATGTAAATGTAGGAATGTAAAGTCAAGAACCAACAAATGCCAAGGCTCATTGGTCCCATTTTCATCCAAAGACAATATTCCAAATATATTGTGGTCTTTCAGACTATATGAACTTGTGTCTTCTCCTATAAACAAATAATCGTTCTGGTTTTCTTTCTTCAAAGTTTTTTGTACGCGCTAAATGAAGCTAGCAATGTTTGATGCGACATTAGCTGTTGAGTGTTTGGAGGTTTCTCTGAGCAGTGCAGATTCTCACCTTACGGTGAACCTGTGGTGTCAGCCACTTCTGACAGCGTTGGGTTTTTCTGCTTAATTAGTGCATTA